AATTTTGGTCTTTCCTTGGATTATTTTGTCAATTTCAATATATATGTCATTATTTGTCTCTAATTAATCCCTTGATTGAAATTGTTTAATCCTTGCTTCTTCTTCTTTTTTTTTTTTAATTTTACACTAATTAATGCTTATTCAAGTTTCCTTGGTTTTTGTCCCTTTTCAATTACATATGTAATTGAATGTCATTTGATCATTACTTTTCATATCATTTTCAATTGGATGTTAAATCATTTTTTCATTTTTATTATTTATTTTTATTTTTTTATTAAAAATGAGGAATAATTCTAAGAAATTAAAATCCTAGAAATTTATAAAAATGCCTAAAAATCATAGACAAACTATTCAACATTTTAATTTTTAAAAATTTTTGAAATTATTATTATTATTTTTTGTATGAAAATAACCTAGGGTCAAAAATTGGTTATTACAATAATAAATTATGTTAAATATCCTAATTTGAACCCAACAATATTTTACACTCGTTATGTCATTCCACATAACAACTATAGTTTAATTTATGTCAATTAGAAAACTACATGATGGTGGTCTTATTCATGGTGATTTGACCACATCAACTATGCTATTTGAACTAGTACCAATCAATTGGTGAGTTATTTTATTTGTTATAGTTGATGTAAAGGAATCCTTGTTTTCTCTTATTGTATCTTTGATTGTTTATCTCTGCATCACAAAGAGAAATATCTTCTCTTAGGTCCTTATTCATTTTGGCTTGAGCTTCACATCAACCCTTCATGAAGACAAAGTCGTTGATATATATTGCTGGAATGAGCTTTACTTTCAATGCATTCTTCATATGGGAATGCGATGAGCTAAGCCTAAACTTTTATCATATGCTAATTTCTTATATGCTATTTTGGATTGTCGACGAGATGCAAAGGAAATGAGTTTTAAATAAATTTAGAATAGAAGAGTAAAACTATTTGAGAATTTGCCATTGAGTTTAAATACATCAAGAATGGAATAGTAAAACTATTTACAATTTTGAATGAGTTTAACTTTTCAATTAGTACTAGAATATAAATGAAAGAGCAAGTATCTCATATGCTTTTAATTAAATATTTAACATGTCTCTTGATCTTAAAATATTTTTATGAGTTTTTATATATAGATTAAATATGATTTTTACTTAATTTTATTCATATTATTATTTTTTCACTTTGAAATTGTGCTTTCGATAGGTTCGCAATGATGACAATGGACAAAATGCTCCTTCTCCTAATTGTTTATCATAACAAGTCATCGAGTGGAAATGTTCTATAAAAACATGAGGGTTGTTTCTTTGTCAACATTAGCCACTTATTTTAAACATAATGGGAACTTTATTTATGTATTTCGAACAAGTGTTTAATACTTTAGTTTTTTTAATTATTTTTTTCTTGTGGATGTTTGAAGACTTTTTATGTATTTAGAATTTGATAATTGCAAATTTAAGAATATTGTATATGCTATATAATTTTTTTTCATTCAATAAGATGTATTTTTTTTAATTTGTTTGTTTTTTGACCAAAAAATGGAGTAAATAATTGAATTTGAAGGCAAAATAAAACTATAATTCTAAACACGGTTACACAATCGCTCCTATAACTTTTAAAATTTGAGACGGTTGAAACCGCCTCTATAAATTCTAAAATTTGAGGTTTTCATGCTAATTTTTTTAAAAAAAATTAGAGAATGTAGAGGCGGTTATAAATCACCATAAAAATTATGCATCAAAAAATTAAAAAAAGACAATTGGCATTGTAGAGGTGGTTGTAATCGCCTCGAAAAATCGGTTTGAGGCGATTCTAACTATCTAAAAAAACCATCTCACAATTCCTTGATGGTTGAAAAAATCGCCTTTACAACGTAGAGACAGTGACATTATCTATGGTTTTAAGACGGTTCATAAATCGCCTCTATATTTTGTAGAGACGATTATAATCATCCGTACAAGAGAAAAAAACCGCTTGCAATACATTTTTTGGTGTAATGATAGTAAACTAACTAAATTTGATCAAAGAAGATAAATCTAAAAATTTAATAAAGTGCGACTGATTTTACTATAGCCTTAGTTGATCACATGCCTAATGTGATAGGTTTGGTCACCCAAGCTCTGTCTTTCACCTTGGTTGCCTCTTTTGGCTTCCTTGATGCTTTTATCATTAAGTCTTATTGGCTTATCAAAAGAAAAAATAAAGTCAAAGCTTTCAATAGATATACCTCAATTAATTATATAAAGCATATAACCATTTTTTGTACATAAAAGCAAATTCATTAAGCACCTAAATGACTAAAAGTAAGAAAAGTTTTACAAAGGAAATTGTTCACAAATCAAACATGATATAGGGTTGAAAACATTGGATACCACTCAACTTCTTCCTTTTTCTAATCATACCGACTTCTTTACATGATTTTAATCTATAGCAATCTTTCAATTATACGAGTTTGACATTTTTTAATATATCTCCATCCAAATCCGTTGAACAAGTTCATTAGTTTCACCAACCACTATTAGTTGACTCAAATATTAATAAATATATGAAAATTAAATGCAGTTTCACTTTAGTTGACTTTTTTTTTGGCTTTTTGTAAAATTGTTTTTGTGCTTTTTGGTCTTTGTTATGTGATCTTACTTCTATTTTACTCTTTGGAGTTTCGGTCATGCAATTTTTGACCCCGTATACTAAATTTTTTTTTTAGTTCTTATATTATACTTTTATTTCGATCATTTAAAGTTTAAAATTATTCTTATTATGCTCATTTTTATTTTTGTATTTTAATTTTTCTTAAAATGTTTCATTCAATGATTGAAAATAGGCCCTTTAATTTTATTTTAACACATTATTGAAGTAAATTAGCATGTCTATTTATTTAAGTAACTTTTTTGTCTTGCAAATAGATAATTTGATTTTTTTTTTTTTGAAGAAATTTGTATTTTTAGGATCTGTAAGTAAAAATATTTTATCAGCTTTGATATCAAATATGAATAAGTAAGAATAACAAAATCAAAGACCTAAAAAAACTAGATTAAACTTTATATTTCTACATGGAGATAATGTAATCTACAATTTTGTTCTATTTCTAAGCCTCATTTTTGGCTTTTAGCTAAATTTTCTTTTTGCTTTGGTCCATGTTATATGATCCTTATTTTATTTTGATAACTGAAGTTTTGTTATGTGTTATTTTTGTCTCTACTTTATGCATAATGATTTTTTTGGTTTTACTTGTTCTTATTTTTTTTTTTTTGGCTTTTAGTAAATTTTTTTTTCTATTTTGGTTTGTGTTATGTCATCTTTATTTTATTTTGGTCATCAAAGTTTTATCACTATATATATATATATATATATATATATATATATATATATATATATATATATATATATATAGAATCTCTATTATTTTGTGTTGTATCAAGCTCAAAAATAGCTTTTTAGATTTTTTGGTTTATCTCGAAATTACTTTTTAATTTTTTTATCTAGCAATATCTAACAAGTTTAATCATATCAAGACAAACAAACTATAGATAAAAATTAGATGGTGGAAACTATGACTACCCAAAATTCAAGAGGCTACCATATTATTACTTTAATTGTCGAGTTGTTATATATGCTTCTAATAAAATAAATGATTGTATCAATCAACATTTAATTATAAATATTATGTTGCTCAACTTCGCATGCTTTTCTTTTGAAGTTTTTTTTTACAAGGTTCCTTTAAATAATTGTTTTGTACATAATTTTTTTATTGTGGTCATCGTTTGGTATTTTTTCTTCTTATTATTATTTTATAAAAAATGAATCTAAGACCCTTTATTTTTCATTTCTATAAAGAAGATTTGTCTAAAAATTTTAAAATAATCATTTTCTATGCTATTTTAAATTATCTTATTACCATCATTATATGAATTGTTAGAACTCATTATTTTATATGGTTGAATACATGAGAATGTTGTGTAGCTCACTCTACGGCAACAAACGAGATGCATAATAGTAAGGTATAAAACATACCACATGTATAGTTTATGATAAATAAAAATAAATAATACATTAAATTCTTAAAATTAACAATAACTAATTATAAGTAAAAAAATAATTTGGTTAATAATAAAAACAAAATCATTTATAAAAAAATAAAACTATATCAATTTTTTTTAATGGAAATTGAAGATTGGAATCCCATATACTAATCGTGGAAGAATAATTCTTTAAACTTTAAAATCTTTAAAATAATAAAAAATACATATAATTATTAAATTTAATGAAATAAATAAAACCAATTTGATTAATAATAAATAAATAAATAAGTTTGACATTTTTTAATTTAAAAAAATTAAAAAAATTAAAAAAAAGTTAAAGATTAGAATATTAATCTTAAAAAAAAAGATTAGAACCGGTATACTAATCTTAAAAAAAAACTACTTTTATTTGTTTTAAATATTTAATAATAAAAAAATGATTGGTTTGTAACGAAAATCAATACATTTTTAAAATTTTAAAAATATTAAAAACGATATTAATTAAAAGAAAAGAAAATATTAAAATTAATTATAAAAGTATACGTGTCATGATCTAGATCCTCCATTTTGGTCGCCTAATGATAGTTGGTCAAACAAGTACCAACTGATCTTGTAGATTAAAATCATGTAGAAGGGCTAATATGAACAAAAATTAAAAGTATGGGGGCATTTGGTGATTTTCACCCACATGATACATAGTGGACAAAAGAACGGCGAAACTCCAACATACTAAGATCGGTAAATTACCTATAAAACCTCAAACAGTTCGATAGCGATAACGCTTTGCATTTTCACCTTTCGTTACTTACACTACGCTATATATATATATATATATATATATATACCTTGAAGAAATTTCAAACAACATTCTGCAGAGTAATTTCAGTTAACACATAAATTTTTATATCATTAATCACGTTTTGACTTATTTTTAATACCCAAAACGTTCTTCGTAGCTCCATCACCAGCAAACCGATCATCCACTGCCAAATCGTCTCCCTCCACTGCCTCGAAATCGACCTAACAGCCTTCTGTCTCCATCAGCCACCATCTCCTCTACACAACGAAGCCTAACACCACAAAACAGACCCACGCTGGCCACAATCCTTTGAAAGACAAACCCATCACTAAACCTGTTCTTACCTCTCCTTCAAACTTTAACCTCCGCGAGCACCAAAACTAGCACAACAAACCTCCATTTCCTCCGTTAAAATCAAGCCCAACAAACTACAATTGCAAATCTACAAAACCTGATCAAATGATATTGCTGACAGGCCTTATTTTTGTTGCCGCTATTGTTATCAATGTCTGTAGTAGTGGCTAAGTAAGTTTGGTTCGATTTTGGTGTTTGATGGTGGTTGTGGTGACTGTGACGTTGGTTTGAACTGTGGGTTAGATGGTTGTAGTGGTGGGTTCGGTTTGGAAAGGATGATGGTGGTGTGGGGGTTGGTGGCTGCAGTGGTTTGGTAGGTGTTGGACTATGGGTTAAGTGGTTTTAGCGGTGGATTGGATTTAGAGGGAACGATGATGCTGGATGGTTGATTTGGTGGAGGAGATGGGTTTCATACCTAGTCTATAAAACAGAATGACTAAATAGCAAATTAAAATCAACAAAAAAAATCTAAAAATAATTAAAACATACACAGAAAATAATAAAAAGAATATATATATATTCTAAAATTGGAGCGACATAGACTAGGTACGAGGATGGAATAGTACTAAAAAAACCTGGAAGTGGACAATTTTTTTCTGTAAATTAATTTATTAGACTTCTATCTACGAATATGGTCAATATATCACCTAGGACCAAGCCCTTATTATCCTCGATGCCCCACCACCCAGCTGGAATATTGTATTCATCCTTCAGCCCATCTATATCTTGATTCACAAGGGCAATATCACGATCAACTTCCAAATTAAATCCCCCTTTATCCCCTTGTGTTCCTGCAACCCCATGGATGTAAAGTTCCAGATTATGAAATTCATCACAACTACTCTTCACATATGGTGAGTTTCGGGTGTCAATTCGCAATTCTTCTCCCACATGTTTATAGTCAAAATCTGGCCAGAGGTCTAAAGGAAGGCGAGGAACCAAGTCCTCTTCATTTGTAATCCGCAAGACAAGTAGCGCATAACTTTTTGAAATTCGCATCTCCAACTCGGGGGCTAGCAAATGCAATGGCCGTGACAGGAAAGACCTTGTTTGAATCAGCTGTGGACTTGTTACAACCATTAAAGACTATGTCTGATGCGTTCAATGTTGCAATTGCTGATCCCAAGCTATGGCCTGTTACCGTTATGCTGGTTTCTTCATCCTTGTATCGGTCCACGAGTTTCCTCACCGCATCCAGAACCTAGAATGATATATTAGCAGTTGATAATTCATGTTGGATTTGATAATTTCATATTTATTTATTATTGTATATATTAATTCATAATTCCTAACGTAACACCCAAATCTAGTATTGGCTATCAAGATAATTATCATTCTGATAAAAGGCAAGGATACATACAAATGATCATTGGGGAAAATTTCACTATATTTCCTAAGCTCTGTCATAAATTTTCGGAAAAATATTTTAACTTTTAATTTCAAACCCTAAGACAAGAAATCATTAGATAAACTTTGGTCTACGACCATGCCCATTGTTAAGCGAAGTTACTTTACTGTGATCTGTCTGGTCCACGATAAAGTAGCTAGCTATACCTGTAATAGCTTTATAAATCATGATAACAAATGTAAACCAAAAAAAAAAAACATGTATAGCCAAGAGCTTCTTTTTGTCCAAATGCTTTCACATAGTATATTTTTACTTCCAAGGTATATCAAGAATCACCTGGTCTCTAGCGCTGGTCTTGCTGTAAGTGGACATCTAATCTTTGGCTGTGTAGAGGGAGTGAAAGCCCTTGTGGATTTTAGCGTTATTGTTTCCAACTATCTCTGGATCAGATATTAGCACAGCATCAAAGTCTTTCAACCATTCAACATTCAATAAAGTTCCTCTACAAGAAACCACAATATCTCTCCTTCCCAAAAGAGCCTTTCCCTCATCTGTTGCCACTGCTACATAGGCACTCCAGGTGGATTCACTCTCTTCCAAAAATAATATATTTTCATCATAGTCTCCGGAAAACAAAGGCTGTCACCTGATACTGGTATGCCCATTTTGGAGAAGAAATCTTTTCGTGCATAGCGGCTAAATCCTCGATAGTTTGATGAGCTTAGCTTCGCGTTGTTGAAGGCATTACCGTTAGCTGTTGCTCTATCGCCATAGTTAATAGTAGAGCGGCGGAGATCAATGTCTAGAGGATTAAACAAGCCATTCCAGTTTTTCTCACCACTCAGTTCTCTCCATCTATCTGCGATGCTAGCCGTCACTTGTAGCCCTATACTACACATCAGCCAAGAGTTTTTCTTCATTAAATACTCTACTGGTTGGAGATGGTTTCAAAATTACATATGCTTTGTAGTTTACATAGAACTCAACGGTGACACTAATTATAATGCCATGTGCAACACATTGGCTTCAGAATTGATCTTTTATGTTATTTTCTTTTTCTTTTTCCTGACTTGATTTTCCAACATCTATATATTTGACGTGAGTGTAATTTTTTATTTTATTATTATTATTATTTTTTTATTGATGAAGAAGTTTAATTATGAGCTTTAGACTATACTAGGTATCTTCTATTACATAAAAAACAACTAAATTTGTTTCACTCGAAAAAATTATCCAATACACAATTATTAAGTTATATATGTTTGTGTTTGAAGTACGTATAACTTTAATATAAAGAATTTAGTACATAATTCACGCCTCAAAGTATATATATATATATAATTCAAAGCTCAGATTGTGTGTTATGTTATGAAAAATGAAATTTCTATAAATCTTCTAGCATGGATGGGTGGTTTATATTTAATTATTTTTAAAATTACATAGCCTAATTAATTGATTTTGATATACTATAGGGATTAAGTTATAATTTCGATATATTAGTAAGTTGCTTAAGCAAAGGATATAGCTATCTCTTATATATCTTCATCTGATACACACATTGTATTGTATTTAAGTGTACTAGAAAGGCAATACAAGTCACTGTGCAATTCCTCCATCTTTTTATTTTGTATTCTCTTCAAAGACAAAGGTAACTTCTTATTCAAAATATGCATCGAACCTTCTTTTTCTTTTCTTTTTTTCTTTTTTTTCTTTTTTTTGTGAAAGAAAATATTAATCGAACTTGGAACTGATATTCCAACTCGTCATGTGCTCTATCATACCATTGTAATAAAAGCATGCATGATACAAGTGAATTTTAAAGACAGAAAAACCTCGTCTTTTAATTCAGATCGTATGCACTCTTTGCACCAAAATTCGAATGGTTTTGGATGTATGTCTGTCCATATTCCAACTACTTACATCTCAGAGAAATAAATGCGAAATAAATATCGAATAACGGCAATGGAACAGTTTGAACTTTGAACATCTCAATTAGAAATGCGCTGTTCAATGTTCACTCCAAGTAGGACCATAATTTTTTTTTTATCAGTATACCTTATCTTTGTATTGTAATTTATTGAAAGGTTGCTAGATTAATCAAGTTTACATAGCATTTGTTTTCCACGTAAAAATCTATTATGTTTCTCATGTGAGAATGTAATAAAAAAATAAGCTACCAAGACCTTATACTCCATAGGGCGTTAATGAGATATATCAATCTCGTAAATTAACAAAGAAAAAAAAACTTTAATAACAAATCCCAATTTATATGACTAAATTTCTGAATAAAAATTCAATTTACATAAAATAAAAAAAATATATAATAACCACATGCCATTTAATTTTTAAATAATTAAAGTTGTGTTCGGACAGGTAAAAAAATTTGGACAAAAAATATTAAAAATGTATGATTTAAGAGTTAATATGGCATTTGGTGCTAGATTAAAAAATAAGGTGAATTTTTACATACGTATTAATTAGAAGATGTTATAAAAAAAATGATAATAATAGTAGAATTGAAAAGAAATATGATATAAAAATGAATTCACTATAAAATAAAGTAAATATAAGAGATAACAATTCTAAATAATTCTTTCAATCTTTACAAAATTCTTACACATAAAATAATGAACAATCAAGCCTATTTATAAGCTTTAAGATTAGAAAGAAAATTGGATGAGACTATGAATTATTAAAGGTACATAAATAATTGAATCAATTGCATCACCCTTTCAATTTTTCATATTGAATGATAAATTCAATCACATTAAAAATAATAAATAGTAAAAATATGAAATGAACATTCATTATTTTATAACACTCACCCTTTAATATCCATTGTACAAGAATATGAAGATGTTATAAAAGAAATGATAATAATAGTAGAATTAAAAAGAAAGATGATATGAAAATGAATTCATTATAAAATAAAGTAAATATAAGAGATACTAACTCTAAATAATTCTTTCAATCTTTACAAAATTCTTATATATAAAATAATAAACAATCAAGCCTATTTATAAGCTTTAAGTTTAGAAAGAAAATTGGATAAGACTATGAATCATTAAAGGTGCATAAATAATTGAATCAATTACATCACCTTTTCAATATTTCATATTGAATGGTGAATTCAATCATATTAAAAATAATAAATAGTAAAAATATGAAATGGACATTCATTATTTCATAACATTCCCCCTTTAATGTCATTGTACAAACAACATGCCTCATTAAAACCTAACTAGAAAAAAATTTAGTGAAAAAATCCTAATAAAAAAAAAGTATAATATTCTTTATATACATTAATTTCTATGTTGGGCTCTCCTTATTAAAAACAACATTTAAGATTTTTAGAATATGCCTCTAGTTGCGGGGTTTGCTTGGGGTTGTGGTAGTAGTTGTCTAGGGGATTTGGGTCGTAGGGATTTGCGGGCGAGGTTGTGGTTTGTCATGGAAGTGGTCCAAGAATGGGTTGAAGTGCGGGAGTTTGGAGGCGATTTGCTTATGGATGGTCCAGGGGAGGTTGCAATAGAGATGGAGGCTGGATGTTGTAATGTAAGAGATGGTTTATCCATGGGTGGTCTAAGGGAAGATTGCAAAAGAGATGGAGGGACATTATCTTAGTTTCCTCCTTTTTTTGGTACTTTTCTTCTTCTTCTTTTTTGTATTTTTTTGGCATTTTATAGTTTTTTTTTTCTATTTTTTTGTATCAAGTTCCTATAATAAATAAAAAATAATTTTTGTCTTTTTTTTATGGTTACTAAATAAGATAGCATGAAATAAATAATAAAGTAAAAAATAATAAAAAAAGGAAAAAATTTAGGGTATTACAAAGGGGGTTATTAAGAATTGATTAAATGATCAGTTGGTAGGCCAGTTAAGATATAGAGATTTAATGTTATGACTTGTAAAAACAAGTCAACCAACCAAACAAAAGGATGTAAATGGTAAAAGGCATGCAAGGAGTAGGCAATGCTAGTATGATGTAAGTCGTGTAGTTGATAGATGGTTGTCAAAGTTCAAATAGGTAAAGTTTTAGGTGTTATCCGGCATATGAGTGCAAGATTTTTTAGATGAAAGTTCAAGGTTTTCTCTTTTGATACAAAAGTTATTCCCTTTCATAATGATTATGAAATTGGTATTTATAGTGAAAGAAGGTAACCCTTGACTACTGGAATTCTGCCACATCATTCAAGTTTAGACGGACATATTTGACTTGAAGGATTTAGGTTTTTTATAAGTCGATTCAACTTGTTATTAAAGACTAAAAAAAGTAAAAATTAAGCCCTTTTTAGCAAACTTTGCTCCAAACCCACCAAGCCTATCTCCCTAATGCAGCCTAATTCAAGGCATGAATACCGATCTTGTCAAAATACTCGTGTCTATCCTTGCTACCAAAAACCTTGTACCGAGCGAGGCTCTTTCTTGGTCCAATTTATTTCTTATGTAGCTCAAATCCATATCAAAGAAAGACAAATAATAACGTGTATTAGCACATAATAAAATATTAGGCAAGTTGTTTAATTAATTTTAGAAAAAAAAATCGAGCATATACATATTGCTCTCGCACAAATAACCTTATGAGCAAAGGTGTTCATTCAATCGTGTATGACAAGATAGAAAATAATAAAATTAGAAAATATTAAAAATGATATAAGTAGCTTGTAGAACAAATAAACTCATATTCACCTTGTAGGCCACCAACATGATGGTATTGACATATGTATAAAGGTTACTATAGTAGGCTTGCCATCAATCATTTAACACATAGACAATAAATGAAATATGCGAGAAGCTATGAGCCTTCCAACACTCAATAAATAAATAATAATAAATGTGATAGGCTAGCCATAAGCTTTTCGGCGTACAAAAAATAAATAGTCAAAGTTTTTTGGCTTGCTAAGAGACTTCTTAAAAATAGGTATTTGTAGTAGATTTTGATTTCAAAAATAATCTTTGACGAGTACCACATCACCATCAAATTGTAGATCTTTAAATCATCTTTCCAAATTGATAAAATTTACATCAAAGAGTCAAAATAATACATTGACCTACAATCCAAAAGCATTCCCCCCCCCTCTTTTTCCAACACTTATCATATCAAATATAGGTAGTAAATGAAATAACATCCATTAACATTTTTAGTCATGCATCGTGTAGCTTCCAAGTGTGACGTTTGTACTAAAAATCTCATACCTAATTAGGTAGCTAGCAATTGATGCCACCAAACCAACTTCTTGTATCAATCATATCTCCGGTAATAATCCATTTTGACCCTTTATTTATTTTCATATAAATTAAAAATTCAAAGAAAAATTAGAATGTTACATAGTTTGTCTTTTTTATGTTTTTTAGACCTTTTTATAGATTTCTAAGATTTTAATTTCTTAGAATTATTCCTAATTTTAAATTTTAAAAAAATAATTAAAAAAATCGAGAAGATGATTTGTGATCCAATTGAAAATGATGCAAAAAGCAAGGACCAAGTAACATTCAAATAGGGATGTAATTGAAAAATGATAAAAATTATAAACTTGATTTTGAATTAATTAGTGTGAAATCAAAAGAAATCAAGAGAAGATTGATTAAACAATTTTAATTAAGGAGCTAATTGCGAGAAAAAAATAATAGAACATACATTGAAATAGAGAAAAATAATCCAAAGAGGGACCCAAATTGGTTTTATCCCCTAACCTGAAAAATTCTCTATATAAACACCATTTTCCTTCTTTTTTAGGGAAGCCTCCATAATTATTTTCCTATCCCAAAAGCCCTAGCCTCCATTACCCATCTCGTACCAAAAACAATATAAGTTCCATTGTTCACCTATCATGCAAAACAAACTTGTTAAAAAAACCATCACCCTTACCCACAAAAAAAGAATCAAGATGTAGAAGGATCATTATTCATCACCTCTCTAAAATAACTTTACAAGACATAGATCCCAAAAGAACAAAAAACAAAAAAAAAAAAAAAAAAAGGAAAAAGAAGGATTCTTCCAAACAGACTTCTAGAAAGGGCTACGGACCCATATCGCCCACAAGTCAACCCATAGATCCATCAACGTTCCTCCCTCAAATTGATGATCCTTCGATCGAAATTGCTTTAATCCACTACAACCAATTGATAGCCCACCACTAAATGCATTATTCACTACTAGTTAGGGAAGAAGATGATGTTGAAGGAGGAAGAAATCAAGAAGAGAAGTTATAAAACTCGACCCAAATAACAATCTAAATGATTCTTCATTTTCTAGCCAAATCGAGTTGCTCCCACCACCGAAAAATACTTCTCATCCTCCTAGAAGCACTTACCTCTTAAAATCACAATGAAATCTTATCGAAATTGACTGAATTGAAGAGGAGGAGAGTCAATTGACCCACTTAACCTCGTTTAACCTTACCTATTTTAATCACCTTTTCCCATCTAGATTACCCCATTTTACGACTAATGAAATGCTCTAACTTGTCCTAGGAACATCTTTGGTTGTATTTGGAGCTTCAAAATCAAGTATCCTCACTAGAATCGAAGAGAGAAGAAAAAAAGCATTTTATGTAATTTTAACAAGTCTCATATCTAATTGAAACCGATATTGATTCAAAATAAATTATATTTCAATAACTTGGTCATTCTTCGACATACCAGTTATGTTGAAACTTAAAAATTGGATCCGATATTGGATTAATGAGACTTTCAACGTTGGGGTCTAACAATCGATTGAATATGATGTCATAAATAAAAATAAAAAATTAATTTGACTTAGATAGTAAACTTGGAAATCGACTCAAAAATATATAAGCAAAAATAAAATTTTAGGAGATAAATTTTTTAAATTAAACCAAACGTGGTATCTTTCTTCGAAAAGAGTGTCTTTGGGTGATTGATATCTTTCCTAATGCATAACCAACTCCTTGTCCTAGAATCTCTAAACTAGCATCAATTTTAGGTTTCTAGTTCTTTTAAAAACTTAGTTTAACTCACATCCCCAAACAAGTAAATTTCTATTTATTATTTTTAGAAGTCCCATAAATGTAAGGTAGCAACATAATGGTGACTCCACATCGATTTAGAGTTAGGCATTGGTTTAGTCTCTTTGAAGTTTATCTCTATTTATTTTTGTAATTTATCTCTAAGTTCTTTATTTTCAAATATTTATTTATTGTTTATTTAATTTTAATTTTTTTCTTTTATGTGATTTATTTTCCTTGTATTTTAATTTCGTATATATTTATTTTTTTGAATTAGGTTGGATGTATTTACTTTGTACTATTATGCGCACCACAAAAAAAACATGCATAAGCTCTAGACCGAAGCTAAAACTCTTTTGGATTTAGATAGAGAGATTTGGAGAAAAGTATGACAAAAGTCTATTGATGCTCATCCAAACTTTCATTTGGATTGCATCTCACCCTATGAAAAGAAAATTATGGAATCGCATTCTCATGCCTCCTAATGCATAAGGTCGGAGGCTGAATTACTCCATTGATAAATTAGATAGTTTGAAAACTTGAAAAGACTTCAAAATTAAACAAGCTTTGCCTAAATTCTAGAAAAGCTAGATCATATCCATTAGAGTTGACTTGTTAAGAAGCATCTTCAAATGATATCAATTTTAACCCTTATTTTTGACGAGTTATCATCAAAACAAATCATGACATAAAGAATGGAGAATACCACTAAGGATTTTAGGACTAGATCATAGTGGGTCTCATTTAAGGAACGAGATTGCCTATGCATATATTCTACGTCAAAATTGTCTAAAAAATTAAGAACTATAAGCAATAAGTATGCTACCGGAGAGGAGCTCATGCTTTATATACTAGACATAAAAACCTCATAGCCACTGGCGCCTCATATACGAGTCTAGTCGTTGTGAAGAGTAGAATCCTCATTTGTATGTAATAAAAACATTATGAGCATTGTAATATAATATAAGTGGTTGTAACACATGGTCATTGCAATGTAAATAATTGTATCATTTTTGTCCTTCAATAAAAAATGACTCTAAGTTATATTTAAAATGTTTTATAAGTTCAAATTTCAATTTCTCTTGTGTATCCTATTACAAGATGCGTCCATCAATCGGGGTCCCAACCAAAAACAAAACGAAATAAAAATGATTAAATAAATAATAAAAAAGGAAAAAAAAGAATTAGTTATATATGGTTTCCGAATCGTCCAAAGTATCTATGGGTTTATACCACTTAGCAAGTACTAAAATCCGATCTAATCCGTCCTCAATACAAGTTTTATCATGATTTAAAGTCTATAATAATAAAGTAACGTATCTAATCTAGTTCGTATCTTGCATGTATATATTCATTATACATTCACTACATATATTTTTCTTAAGTTTGTTTTGTTGGATTTGAAATATAAGTCATCCTTCTCTTCTATTTTTCTCGAAATTTCATTTTATTTTCTTATAAAATTAAACGAGAGAGAAAAGGAGAAAGATGAAAAAAAACAATTTTTTTTTCAATTTTTCCAAACTTAGATGGAGAAAAGGAAAGAGAAAAACCCAACATGACGAATTCCAACCCAAAAAGTATAGAGAAATCCAATTGATTAAATTATGGACGAAGAGAAGGAAGAAGAGAAAAAGAAAGAAGAACATGAAGGTATTGTTATATAGCCAGAGCCGGTTCAAGAAGCGAGTTTTTAGCAAGAACTTGATCAATTGAAGCAGCATGGCTTTCTGGGTTTTTGGAATTGTTATAGAGCCGAGCCAATTCGAATGCAATCCCAATTGGTAGTTTTTAGTCTGCTGCTTCGGTTTTAAGGATGAAATTGATCAATTGAATGAACATAGGTTCTCGGATTTTTTTCATAGTTTTTTTTAGATTAACTTTTTTTGTTCTTTTTAATTTTATTTTTTTGACATGTGACAATTTTATTTTAGATGGCATTACATGTGTCAAATTTTTTACTACTTGTTATATTTACTTTAAAAAAAATTAATGAAAAAACTATCGAAAATGTCATATTAAGAAAATTTAGAGGATAAAAAAATATGACAAAAATAAAAAATAAAAAAATTACATAGATTACTGTGTTGAAGGGAGAATACTTAAATAGAAAAACAGTGAGGCAAGCTTATTTTGATGTGACGAGTTTGGAGAAACACTAGGGATTAAGAGTTAAAGAGGCTGAAAGAGATAGGGCTAACAGAATTTTGGGAAAAGGACGAACTTGGGTTGAATGGTAAAGTGATGTGGTTAATTAATCTGACGTGGCAAATTGAAAACCTGTCATATTTAAGTGTGGAGATGTTCTAAGCTCTTAGCACTAGGGGATTCCCGGAGTTTTAGCCCATAATGTATAAGTTATTTAAATCTCAACTTTTCAATTCTAATTGATGGTTAGCATTATTTTATATATTTATTAACTTTAAAATTAATTAAATTACTTAATTTAGTCGTATAGCATTTATGCTAAAGGAAAATAAGTTTCTTTTAAATCTAACTTATTATGAAAGTTAAAAAAGATTCCAAATTTGTATAATCTCTTATGACCCTATTCTAGTTAGTTTTTTTTTTCTTTTTTTCTTTTTTTTTTTTTTTGAATGGAAAAATTATTATCAATAACCTTTTTCAAAATTTATTAATAAAAAAAAATGACATCTTGAAATGGTTCAGAAACGTTTCTTCAGTGCTTTCTAATAAAATATTTCCTTGCTTTGTCTAGACCATATATATGAAATTATAGTTTTGTGTATCAAAAAAGTTACAAATTAGAATTAATTCAGCTTCGTAGTTGTATTCTAGTTTTATTTTGGTCTATTAGTTGGTTTTTTTTTTCCCCTATAAATTGATCCCAATTTTAATGATTTATCTCAAAGAAAGTTAAGAAAATTCACATACTACAGATGGTTAGGAGAAAGATTTTTTTTTTTTTTAATAATAATAATGTAAGAGACAACAGAGGCTGCATTTTATGTTTATAAGATATGCATTAATTTAGATAGTAATATATAAGAAAATAAACTTAGATAGATTTGAAATATTAAAGTAAGTAAATTTTACATAATTAACCGTATGAATCTAGAAACACAAGCATAGAGTCCTTAATGCCTCCGCCTTATTTTTACCAATAGCACTACATGATCAGTACGTATAGCACGCTTTTTCAAACAATTTTCCTCAAATTAACAGTACTATGAATCTTAAAAACACAATAAGATATTTGATGTACAACTTATAGATATTTTAACCAATAATTTGCTTCATTAATGTCTTGAAGATCTTCAGGCATCAACATCCTCTTCATGATCCATCAATTTCCAAGAACAATCTGCTTGCTGCACCATACCCTTGTTTTCTTGAACCCGCCATGCTGATGGTACAAGATACTCATCCTTTAAACTATCAGTAGTTTTGTTAACAAGAGCAATATCGCGATTGACCTCTAATTTAAACCCTCCTTTGGACCCTTGTGTGCCAGCCACTCCATGCAGGTAAACCTCCAAATTATGCCAACTTAATAAATTTCCTGGGCTCTTCAAGTACTTAGACTTGGTGGCGTCAATTACCAGTTCTTCTCCCACATCGGCACAGCCTATCAACGGATAGTTAGGAACAATGTCGAGAACGTTGTGAATGCGTAATGCTTTCAGATCCTTATATCCGGAGAAAACCTTCTTAAAGTTTGAGTCCCCAACTCGAGGGCTGGCGAAGAGCACGGCTGTGACAGGACAGCCCTTGTTTTCCTTGTACTGGTTAAATCCATTAGCAATTATATCCACGGAATTCAGAGTTGCAAGTGCAGCTCCTAAGCTGTGCCCGGCTACGGTTATGCTGATTTCTTCTTTTTTGAATTGATCCACCAGCCTCCTTACCTCATCAAGAGCCTAACAAATAATAACAATCAGAATTCTCAAACGCTCATACTTCATATGGATAGTTTTTAAAATAAATTAAAAAAATGAATTAAATTACAAATTACTTTACCAGTAATTAAGTACTTTACAACAATGGTCATCAAAATCTTTTCTTATATATATGTATATCGACGTGAATCTTTTTTTTTTTTTTTTTTGTGAAGGATACATAGGATAAAATTTCTGGTAATTAAAGAGAAAGTAATTACTATAAAATAGGCGCATGGAATAAATGACAATAGTTTCCAGCCAATAAATGTTAGACACATGAATTTTCTTTTCTGAGGAGTATGAACATAAAGTTTCTTGTTATACAATTACTGTATTTTATTAATGTATAAGCCCAGGAGATCTCACAATAATTTTTTGAGATCATCATTTTTCTTAGTTATATTTTAATAATATTCAATAATTATTTGAATCTAAAAATTTAAATTATTACGTAAATTTTCTGGAATTATTTTATATAAACTCTAACGGATAACATCATGCAACAGAAAAGTTATAACACAAATGCTTAAATACTATAGTACCTGGTCTCTAGCACTATTCCTGTTGTATGGTGAACGCGGATCATCGGAAGTGTAGATTGAGTACCAACCTAGGTGCACCTTAGGATCACCGGACTCGCCAAAAATTTTTGAAGCCGAGACTAAATTAAATTCGAAGTCATCAACCCACTCTAAGGTCTGAACTGTACCTCTCCAAGCAATGACAATATCCCTCCGCCCTAACACGGCCTTCCCTTCATCAGTAGCCACTGCAACGAACCCTATCCAATTGGATTCCTTGCTCCATGCCTCCCTCGATAATGACTTTATGATGAATGCTTCAGGGAGCGGCAGCTCTGATGTTGCATACAAGAATTTGGTCACACGATACTTAAATGGATTTCCTTTCTCTAAATGAACCCTGGCAAAAAAGTTATCCTTTGCGTACAGGCTGCTTCCTGTATACTTAGATGCCTTTTGTGTGTTGAAACCATCATATGTAGCCTGAGCCATTTCACCGTAATGAATAATGTATCGCCGGAGATCGTTATCTAGTGGGTCCAGGAGGTCCTTCCATTGGTTTTCACCACTTAGATGTCTCCATCTTTTTGCCACGCTCCCCATCATTTTCTTCTTGCCAAACCACCTTTTAAGGATAGATTGTTTCTGCATTCTTTATTTAAATAAAGCTGATCCGAGAACCGTGACTTCTTCTAAAAGTAATATCAATATCTCAACTAACCAGTTTACAAAATATCATAAACTGATACAGGACTATGATCAACAAAGAGATAATTCTTCCAATCGATTTCAGATAACCTTAATTACCACATAAAGGATTGCCTTGGACTGACTTTACCACTTTAAAAAGTCTCATATATATATATATATATATATATAAGTGCTGTTGATCTATTCCAATCAATGAGTTTTCAGGTTTGCTTCGTTGTCTAAACGAGATGGCAGAATCGTTCCAACCATTTTAAAATGGAGTATGACCGAAGAAAAAAACTTTTATTGGTCTAACCTAATCATGAAACATTATCTTTTTATGGATCGACTTATCAAATATATGGTTAATTTTTTCATCTTACTAATCTGGAACTAACTCTAGTATTATAATAGGTGGCTTGTTAACTTCTACAATCTCTCTTTTAGGCAAGAACATGTTAAATTCTCATAAGCAACATTTTTACAACTTCTATTATTGACTAGTATTTTATTAAAGTAAGTATTTATTTGAATTTTGAATATGGTTGTTATTAATTTGAACATCAAGAGCAACATGTGCTTTTCTATAATATAAAACTTCAATTATTATTAGTAGTGGGTGGAAGTCCTAAGATCAAATGATTATTATATTCATTATTGGAGAATTAGAGAATAATGGAAATTATATCTTGAAATTTCATTTAATAATTTAAAATTTTTAAATTAAGATATTTTTTTAATATAATATCAGAGTTTTGTTAATCAAACATTTAACAATTCAAATTTTACTACCTTCATTTTTTTTTAATTTATTAAAAAATTAAGTACAAAATCTATACTTTCTTTTCTAATTAACTAAAACAATTGAACACAAAATAGTGTAGCATTGTTTAAATTTCAAACTCAAAGGTTTTCACTTAAATTAAGCACAAGATATTAGAGTTAAACCCAAATTTGAAATTGCTTTTATTTTTAAAAAAGATGTGTTAAAAAATAATATAAATATATAGTAAATGAGATAATTACGGCCTTTAATTAAACGAAAGATGACCATGCGCTTATTAATTTCTTGACTTAGAAGTTATTGCCCCTGTTGGTACAAGTAACGACGTTGGAAAATCAGAAAGGTGCACATACTTTAATCATATAGCAGAAGTAATTAAAGTCACTAATCAAGAGTTAATTGGAAAATCATATTAACAGAAACTTGGTAGAACACAAAACGTTTAATTGCCTTTTTCTTTTCTTTTTTTCAGTTGAAGAAACAAAATGCTTTGGCTAAAACAACAAGGATTTAGAAGAGCATATCCTCGGAAATTTATCATAATCGTGCATGTGAAAGTTGTTGGTGAAACAAAAACTTTTAGTACTAATTTCTGCATCTTTATTTTATTTACTTTGAATTTGGACCGTAAAATCACCTGGGATAGAAGACAAATGTATGTATAGAAACTTGTAATGCTTGTGTGCTGCAAACACATAACATTGAACAAGCCTTTCCTGCCAAGTTAGTTACAAAAAGAACACATATGCTGACATAAATATTCGAGTTGCTTTTCACTTTAAGAACGTAAGGATTGGCAATTAGTTAGATACTTTGCCAATGCTTTCATCTTGGATTATATATATAGAGAGAGAGAGAGGGAGAGAGATTAGTCAGCATACTTAATTTGGCAATGCTTTTACTTTTAAAATCTTTTGTTTCGTGTGACTCCAATGCTTTCAACTTGGATTACAAATATATGTATATATATAGAAATTAGTCAGTATACCTAATTTGGCAATGCTTTTACTTCTAAAATCTTTTGTTTCGTATGACTTTAATTCTAAGTACTTTATTCGTTGGCTTTTCTTGTTAAATCTTCATACGAAAAAATGCCAAAGCTTGCTTTACAGGGAATCTGTTTCCACCTTTTTCCCAAGATGATACAATCAAGGTACTATAAATAGTAGAGTCCTACAATGAATTACTAGAATTTTGAATAATAATCCTCCGTGTCGAGGGGTTATTGAGAACCGATCGGACACCAATTAAGATAAAGAGATCTAGTATTGTGACTTGTAAAAGCGATGGTCGATCAATCAAGCAAAAGGAAGCAATTAGTGAGAGGCGTGTGAGGAGGAGTAGGCAATGCTAACAAGGCATATGTCGTGTGGTCGACGGATGGATAGTCAAAATTCAAATAGATAAAGTTTTAGGTATTGTCTAGTATGTATGAGTGGAAGAGTTTAGAGATGGAGAATTCAAGGCTTTTTCTTGCTAGAGATCAAAAGTTCTGCGATGCAAAAGTTATTCTCCACTTTTGTAATGATATGAGATTGATAATTATAGTGAAAGAAGATAATCTTTGACCACCGAATTGTGGCACATTATCAAGCTTGGACGGTCATTTTTGGCTCAAAGGATTTAAGTTTTTTGAGTTAAACTACTTCAACTTGTTAGGAAAGCATAAAGAAAGTAACAATTGGACCTTCTTGAGTGAACTGCGCTTGGAGTTCACCAAGCCAATCTTCTTAATACGACCCAATCTAAGATATGAATACTAGTTATGTCAAAATACTCATGTCAATCCTTGCAACCTAAAACCTTATACCGAGTGAGGCCCATTCTCAATCCAATCCATTTGTTGTATAGCTCGAATCCATATTAAAGAAAGACAAATAATAATGTGTATTAGCACATAATAAAATATTAACTAAGTTGTTTAATTAATTTTAGAAAAAAAATCAAGCATTATTCATTTAGCTCTCTACACGAACAACCTTGTGAGCAAAGGTGTTTGTGAAATCGTGTATGGGAAGATAAAGAATAATAAAATTAGAAAATATGAAATGGCATAATTAGCTTGTAGAATAGATAAACTCGTATTCATCTTGTAGACCACCAATATTATAACACCTTCGACCTAGGACCTAGATAGATCATGAGTATTATCGGTTTTGACTCGTATTCGGAGTGCAATGAACACAAGTCGATAGGCCTCCTCTTCTTAATTTATCTTAATGTAATCAATTTATTAGCAAAGTGGGCAATCTTACCGGTGAGGTCCCTAATGAGTATGGGATAATAGGTCCTCTTAAACTAACTTAGGTATGAATTTGTTTCTTAATTTCCTCAAATCATTTAATTTTTCATTCCAACCAAACACACATTGTGACAAATCAATCTTTGTTCATTTAGATTACATGCTAAAAATTTTCTTAGCTTACTTTCATTTACATATAATCAAAGCCAAGCTAAGCGAGGTGAGGTCGAGTTCCCATACTCCATTATTCTAAGCACACCTTTAGCAATTCTCCAACATATATTGGCGATGACAATCTTTAATACTTTTTCTTCTTTCCTACACCATAAGAATTGAAGAGTGAGCAACGTAATACGATGCTCAATAAGTACAATCTATCTAATGCAAGTTAAGCCTTTTATGTATGAATGCTTATTATTACCAAAAAAAATACCAATTAGCAACGTAAATTAACAATTGATTTTAATCCATCGTTATTTAGCGATAAATTAACGATGGATTAGAGACGGACTATAAAAGGTTGTGTTTTGCAATGGATTAGTGACGGACTAACGAGAGATAATTAGAAACGGCAAAAACTCCATCGCTAAATAAGACACAAAAAAAAGTGCCAAAATTAGCGACGGATTAGTGATGGCTTTGTAGTCTCTAAATGAAAAAATTAGTGACAAACTTCAAATCCATCGCTAATTAGCGATGGATTGTGACGGACTTCAAATCCGTCACTAATTAGCAACGGACATCAAGTTCGTCATTAATTTGTACCTTTTTTGGGGGGAATTCTCCTAAAATGGCCCAAATTAGCGATGAATTTTGGAATCCGTCGCTAATTAGCGACACACATCAAATATGTCACTAATTTGTGCCTTTTTTAGGGGGAAACTCCCCTAAAATGGCCTAAAATTGGTGACGGATTTCAAATTCATCATCTGAATTCGTCGCTAAAATTAGCGATGGATTTTGGAATCCGTTACTAATTTGTGTCTTTTTTGGGGAGAAATTCCCCCAAAATGGTCTAAAGTTAACAACGAATTTTGGAATCCGTCACTAAAATTAATGACAGATTTCAAGTTCGTTGCTAATTAGTGACGGACATCAAATCCATCACTAATTTGTGCATTTTTTGAGGGAAAATGATCGAAAATTAACGACGGATTTTGGAATCCATCGCTAAGGGTTGAGATTTTAAGGGAAAATTTCCCCCAAAATCCCCATGGGTCGCTACCTCACCGATGTTGACGTCTATCGCTAAACTTTGAGAATTTAGGAAAAACTTTCTCCTCAAATTAGCGACGGACTCGTAATCCATCGCTAATCAATGACGGATTAGTGATGAAATCGAGTCCGTCACTATTTTACCTTTATATATACCCTCTTCTTCTTCTTCTCCATTTGCTTCCCTCACCTCCACCACACCTCCTATTTCATCGCGGCCCATAAAAACGCCCACCCACGCCACCCCACACCATTAAATCTTTTTAAAATCATTCAACAAAGTGAGGGATATCTTTCTCCCTCAAAATCATATCGAATCCGTATTCTCTATCCTTGATCTATCGGGTAAAACTTTCTCTCTCTAACTCTTATGTTTTTTTAATTAGATAATTGTTATAAATTTTTAGTTAAATTTTGTTATTTGTTAGTTTATTAATTGTTTGAATGTTGTTAATTATCTTGTTATGTTAAGTTGTGTATAGTAGTTTAAATTTGTTAGTTGTTATTTTATTTTTATAAGCTGTTAAATTAATTTTGTTGAGTTTTATTTTGTTGTTATGTTAATTGTTAGGTTAATTTTTATGTTAACGTAAACCTTAAAATTTTCAATTTTGTTAATTTTTAGTTGTTAGATTAAAATTTAATTATTTAATCTTAAATTGTTATTTTAATTAAGTGAATTAATTATATATTTACTTATTTTTAGTGTTAGGTTAATTT